AGCAACAGCATCAAAACATACCTACGCATTTATTACTTGAAAACGAAACAGCAGTGATCGAAGGTGGCGGCGTCTAAACAAACAATTACATTCAATAATATGATAAGATTGAAAAATTTGAAAATTTTGGTCTCATTCAAGTATTTAGTTTAATATGTATCGCTCAAATGCATATCCTCACAATTTGATTTAAAACCCTATGACATCTGATCATTACAAATCACACAAAGTTTGTCGAATTGGAAAATATAGTTGTAACAGCTGTTCGAGTTACATGGGGATCTTGCTGATTAAAAACTTGAATTATCCTTGTATTTGCTGCACCATAACTATCTTCTAGGTAATTCATGTAATGGCACGAAAGCGGCCTATATAAAGCAGTTGTGTTAGTGTTGCCAGCCAGTGTGTCGATCCAGTGTTGTGCCGCGTCGTGTTAGACCTTACTACCCCTGAGCCTTCGCCAAGGAGCTGATAACCCAGCCCGACAAGTCGAGATGCCAGCCAAGGAACCAGCTTGACAGACAAAATGACTAGTCGACCAGCCGCCGAACCCGAGCCCAACACATACATGCCATGTTTTATCGCAGCAACAAACCCACTCTGTGATAAAATAGTGTCGAACCTGTTTTAAAAAGCTCAGCAACGGAAAATCATTTGCCGGATTGCAACAGATCGGAAAAATTCAACCTGAGGAATGGCTACTTGGGGTGGAGGTACTGCAGCCAACACTGGCGGATTTGAAAAAGCGGTTGAAACGGGAACACTCGACACTGGGATAAATCGTTTGACTGAGTCGCCCGAGTCCGATTCAACAATCTCCATATCGCGGATCTACAAACTATGTCAAATAACACCAATTCATTAATGCAACATGAAAAATTTCAAAATTGTTGCTCGTACGACGCACAGAATTGGTTTGCTATTTACATTATAACTATTACTAGTAGCATGATTTTAGCAGCTAAGAAAAACGCCTTAACTGAGTGGACCAAACTGACCACCAACTGACCATTAATGAATCAAAGACAAATTTCCTGGACATTTATTTTCATCGATCTACAGGAATATTCATCGCGTGAAGTAATATCTGGTTACCCACTTAAGCCTTTCGCCCCTAGCGGCACAGGTGCTAGTGCTACAAAAGTCTGGGTTTAAAGCTAAAACTGAAGAAAACTCTCTTTTGTACTCCCGGTCACCTCCTCCTCCCCCACCTCCCCCTCGCCCCCAGAAGCCTCACTTTTTCTTTTTCTCCCAGGAAACCGTCTTGGATCCGTCTATGTGTATAAGTGCAAACGCCTTAACATTACTGTGAGGCGTTGTCCAGGATCGGCATTCGTCTGTTCCGTCTCGAATCAAAAATGCAACACCAAGTTCTGGAGCTGCCCCAGCAATTGTGCCATGTCAAGCTACGGAATGTCTCCGCTGTTTAGCAGGCCTGTGATAATACAAATGTTACCAAAAATGGAAGATAGAGGCCGTATTTTGTCACGCTCACGTAAACCTTCCAGCAATGTGCATGATCGTTGGTACTCGCGGTAACAAACACACCTGATGGTCTTCATGCGATCGTGAACGCAAATTTCCATCCCGGCTCGTTTCCGGTAAAGCAAGGAATGAATTAACGGAATGACCAACTTCATTCACCAAACTGCACAAAAGTTCCTTAGCGTTAAGTTCCTGGAGTAAAGTCTGAGAATTCAAGGAAATGAAAGTTATAAGCCCGAGTAATACGCTTGTTAGAACGTGGATTCCGCAAGTTAAGTCGGAGTCTTACACTGGAGAAAACAAATTTCTGTGTGATTTGCCGAATTTATAAGCGGTAAATTTGTACTCGAGCGACT